TACAGTTTTTTTTTTTTCCCCCCCCCCCCCCCCAAATGAAATTGGGAAGCTCCGCCTCTAGCGTCTAGACTTTGGGAGGCCGATATCGCAGTGTACTTCCTGGGGCAAAGGAACGATTTATCAGGGAAAATGCCTTATGTACTGGGTATGCTGACGGCCTAATAAAAGTGTCCTGATTTAAGTGAATGAGTTCGTGGAAAAATCTTTCAGCATGGCATCTAACGGCTTTCGACCTCGATCCCTTCCGTTTTCCGCGTCATGCAGACAAGGACGTGAAAATCATCCGGTGTGAACTGAATCACCGGATCCCGTCACACCCCTTGTTTTCAACTATTCAAATTTCCAGCTTTGTGCACAGATGTTCGAACGGATGGATGATTCAAGGCTGTTATTGATATTGCGAATGACGTCAGAGGGGCCCGAAGGGCTATTCCTCTGATGAATCCACCCACGTAGATACTTTCCGGTAATTCAGTTTCCCATCTCGACCTTGAAACGAAGCAGCTCCACCCGTTTTCCGTTCGTATTGACCGCTCTAATCTCGTACTTTCCGACACCTGTGCAAAATGTGACGTCAAAACTTAATGCAAACATCTTTCCCGTAAGCAGGACACAATCATTGATTTCCCAGCAAGCAAGGCTACATTGGACCAACGTTGTATCAACGTTCCGAACGTTTATTCAGTGTTGATGTAACGTTGATTCAACGTTGGGTGTTTCAAATTGTTTGCTGGATTGGTTTAATCCGACGGATTTCATTCAAATTTCATTTAATTCAATGGCGCGAGATAGCAGAGAATCTCGTCAGTAGAAAGAAAATAATGGAAGTATAGTCAATGCACAAAACAAGCATCATAGTGCGTGAAGGATGACGCAGATGTACGAAAGAAGGAGCACATGAATGAGAAGGAACACCTTAAGGAGAAGGAACACATGAAAAGGGAGATGGAGCAGATGACGAAGGAGGAGCAGAGTATGGCCGTGTCATGCACAATTCAAGGGCAACTACGTTTTCCGTTGGGCATCGAAGAATCTTATCGCACTGAGAAAGAGCTACATGACAGACCGCGAATGTTCCCTCGAAGATGGATGGAAATCTCGCTTCTGTCCTTCACTCGTGGCGGTCGGCCAGAAGTGAATCGGTTTCGATGAAACGATCCAGAAAACTCAAGCATACGACGATGTGTAATGGGATGCTCTCATTTTTACTGTGGGCTCGTACGGGAATGGTATGACCTCAGTTAAATTCCGAGCGTTCGATAAGTAACTTGGCAACTTTGAATTTGAACGACTCGCAGATGAACTCGACGGGAAAGACACGTCCTTGATGTGCAATAAAAGTGAAATTCCAAACATTTATTCTGGGATTACTCAGGCAGCGAAAAGATTTCCAGAATGCTCTAGCTAACCACGAAACGAAAATCCTAAAAATTGAATCGACGACCAGCGGTGGTGTCGTTAGTTGGAGCAGCTGCAGCTGGTCTGTAGAGACAGACGAGGCGGGGCCTAACCTATGAACCTGTCTCCACTGACGAGCTACCACTACTAAAAATGCGATGCGCACCCACTGATACCGACCCACCATAATTATCCTTTCACTTATGGATTCGGAGGGACACGTGCGCGACAGAATCTCTTTTCCCTCGAGTTCAATAGGGTCAGTAAAAAAAAAAAATAATAAGTTCCCAGACTGGTTCTGTAACTCCTTCACAAGTCGATGGACAGGTGCCAATTCTCGTGAGGATCTTGGATTGGGTCTCGGGAGTAGGTCTACATGGGAAAGTTTTCTCGACTATGGCTTTCTTCTCTATTGTTTTCGGAATTTTTCTTTATAATGGACTCATTTACCCCCCTCTCCCCTCTGGCGGAAATGAGGGGTGATTTTTTTTAGCAATTAAATAATTCTGAGAGCCGTGAAATCCTCGTGGAAATGGGAAATTGTGCCCCGTCCCAGAAACCTCTAAGACAGGGGTGTCAAACTCAAATCGGTCGGAGGGCCGCTTTCCCTACCCTGAAGATGCCTGCGGGCCGCACCCATAATTTTCCACTGAAATTTGTGGTGACAGTCTATCCAAGTAGAAATTTCTCAAACTAACGACGGGCCGGATGAACCACCTCCGTGGGCCGGATCCGGCCCGCTGGCCGTATGTTTGACACCCCTGCTCTAAGGCATCCGAGAGGAGCAAACGGTTCGAAAAACATGAGACCTTCGTCAGGGGTCACGTCTAAGGCCAGGTAGGTCATTAGCATCAAGTTGATGAGTGAAACCTAGCGGGAAATTGTCTGAATGCCTTTCTGAGATGATCCAGTCTCTCAGAGAACTTCCGAATCATCAGTCTCTCATCTCCTGCAGGATTTGTGACTTTTTTGCTGATCCCATCGACCGACCTCGACGACCGATTCGTGGCGAAACTGACTTTGGGTCATTGTGATGACCTACCTTTTCTCTTAACCTTTTGCGTCTGGAGAATGCGATGGTGTTGCCAGGAACATCTGCATGAGCAACAACGCACAATATACTGAAGGTTTCTTTTGCCCGTTTCCCCAATTTTTAGTTTTGAACTTCCAATTTCGTTCTATCAAATTCGCCACTCATTCTTGCTGGGGGGAAGTTAAAGAATTCATTTTTTTTCATTCACAAAAAAGGAAAGAAAACAGAAGATCGATCATGTAAAAAAATTGTTTCTTGCGCTCCCAAGACCCAATAATAGTACAATGTATGTAATTATATATCTCCCGCACGCAGTGTGAGTCCTCTAACTCTTAGTGCTGCAAATATGGCCATGATTCATGGATTAACTCTTATCGAAAGGTGGAAGATGGCCTCTTACATGGTGATGCTTTGAGCTCTCGACGGTTGTCGAAGGGGATTCTCCTCTCCCCAACCTTTTTCTTCGCGAACTTTCCTGCTCGCCAAATACATGATGTTCGTGAGAGGCTCCTCGAAGCTGTGAAGCCCGGTCACATGTACGAACCTTTCGGATAATAAAAAAATCTCGTCTAGAGGAAAAACTTTTCCTCTAGTCGCGTGAAGTCTGAGAAGAAAGCCGAAACAGGTAGGGTGAGTGTTACGAAAGCCGGTACTGGAGTGGGGATTCGTCATTCGGACGTGAGACACTCGAACGGGAGGGCGTGGATCCACGTCCGCTTCTCTCATTAACCGATAGGAAGCTGATCTCTTGGTTTCGGTCTGGTATTCGGCCAGCAACTCGTCGCATTTCCGGTCGTGCAAATGAAGACAGCAGCAGAATCTGCGGTACAGACGAGGACACATCAAACCCAAGTAAAGGAACAGAAATTTTAGCGGAATTTAGAAGACGACAGAGTAAGTGCCTTACCTCTGGGGAATCCATTTTATTTTTTTAAAATACTTTTTTATGTTTGGACCAGACTGGTTTAACCTCTCCAAAAGTTTAGGATATATATTTTTTTTAACTTCAGGCGAAATTCAATGAATCGCAATCGCTGTTCACTGAAAATGATGTGGGGGACACGTGGAGCACTTATAGAGACCTCGAGCATGACAGACGAAAAATCCTATACTTTTTATCGATAGAACAGTTCCCTGTACATACATTTGAAGCAAAAAAGTTTAACCTAGGAAGTTTCGGATGGTTGGGGGTCAGGTCGCAGGCACTAAAGCAGCCGATTTTCGGCACATTCGGATGGCAATCCATTTTCAAGCAGGTTTCTTCCCTTTCGTGCAGAAATGAACATTTTTCAGTTAATATACCTACGAGTCAGCAGCTGCTAGAAACTTCACGTGATTCGAGTTGACTTCACAAATAAAATTTGTTTCCGAATTTATTTCTTCCCGTTTCCAGACGTGTTTGAAGTAGGGTCTAGGATCCAAGTCGAGAAAAACGACTTGGACATCAAATGGAGAAGGAAAGGGTTTTTCTAAAATATAATAAATAAATATAAAAAAAAGCCTAAACCTAGAACTAGAACATGTATAGCCGTAACCGAATGGTAGAACATACTGCATGGTTT